ACTGTAAAAAAAATCACGCTCATACGGAATAAAAAGTACGCATGAGATATAGAAAATGGAGGGGGGAGTTAAACTGACGCCCAGAAATATTTCCACGAAGTTTTCTGAAAACTAAAATAATCCATTCATTATACAATTTATTTATTAATGAATAACTACTTATAATTTCATTTGAATCGGATAATTCCCTGATTTTTGGCAAATATATTGAAAAAAAAGGTGAAGCGATTTTTTGCTTTCATTTCGAAAAATGAAACACACACACACGCACACACACACACACACACATATATATATATATATATATATATATATATATATATATATATATATATGTTGATTCTCGAACATGTGTATCTCTCAGAAAATCTATCGTTATCAGTCTACCAATCATAACTGTCCCAATTTTTAGGCGTTAGTATCTAAAGTATTCATTTAAAAATGCTTAAAAGTTGAACAAGATAAATATGTAGTTTTCTATTTTTATCTACTCACTTGTCTATTATTGTAACTTTTATCAAAGTACACACACACACACACACACATAGACAAACGCACACACGCACACACACACATATAGACAAACACACACACACGCACACATATAGATGGATAGATCGACTATGGATCGGAATACGACAAAATGATAGGCTAAAGAACAAGTAGGAAACAGATCTTAATCTAACATGTTTCACTTTATTAAAGCTTCGACAGAAATCAAGATAAAAATGATAAAAATCAAAGAAATGCAGATTAATAATATGTTGTGTTTGCTTATTTCTTATTGGTTAGATACGTGTCACGTTTAATGAAGTAACAGATAATATTCAAATATGTTTAGCAAAAATTCTCGACGCTAAAGTGTGTAAAAGTTAGTAAGATGCAGTAGGATGTTTTGATTGGATACGTTTCACATGTGATGAAGGAACAGATAATATTCAAATAGGTGTAAGAAAATATTCTGAATATTCTGAATGATAAAGTGTGTAAAGTGATAAAGTGCTGCATGTTTTGAAAAATTTTGTTTGGTTAGATATTCCATTAAGTATATCTCGTGCGTATTTTGTATGCATATATATAGATTTTTATGTATTCGAAAGAGATAAGTTACATATACGAATAATGGACCTGTAGAAAAATGGTGATGTAATGTAGTTTTTTGAACGTGTATTAATAGTTGGTAATATTGCTATAAATATATTTTCATATTTTCTCTTTAAAGGGTTACGTGATTTTTTGATAAGATTGTTATTGGTGAAATTAAAGTTATGTCCTATGTTGAGAATATGAGAGAATTTGAATGTTTATCTAAACGCAAATCTCTTTATATTTATGTATATTTATTAGTAGTATAAATTTTAGCTCTGTCATTTTACACCGAGCACTGTTTTCTTACCACCAGCAATTACGCTTAATGGGCACTATATATATATATATATATATATATATATATATATATATATATATCCTTCACCGGTATATAAATAATATCCCACGCCGATAGTACGACTCGGAGTTTCATGAACTATGCAAGCATCAGATATAAAAGTACTGGCCGTCATCTGGTTAAAATATTTGGATTTCGCTGTGTTAGTTGGATATTTTAAATATACTAACAGCACTGCCCTCTCTAAATATTTTAGGAAATTAAAAAGTGGCAATAGAAACCCAAAGATCCTCTGAGATTACATAGCAAAAGCCAAACCTTTCAGCGGGAAGTGCAATAAATATAATTGGTGTCTTTAAAAAAAATAGTCATTCTAAAACATATAGATAACCCTAATTTGTTAAACGGAAGAAGTGAGTTAATGACCTCATGTATACATAGAATTACGTTGGCCCAAATTAATATAGTTTTTTTTTCTCTCTCTTTTGGACCCCACATAGATAACAATATAAAACAATAGTTAATGTTACTATTATTATTACTTTATTATTATTGAAATGATCATTGTTAACATTATTGTTATTATTATTAATGTTATCATATTTTTAATATTATTACCTATTATTATTATTATTATTGATATTACTTTATTATTAATAATATTATTATTATATTATTAATGTTATTACTATTATTATTATTATTATTTTATTACTGCTTATCTATTGTTGTTTTTATTATTATGATTTTATCACTGCTTACCTATTGTGTTTATTATCGATATATCCTTTCAATTGGTTTACCCCAAGCAAAAAACAGTTATCCCCCTTGATACATTTAACTACCAGCGTTCTATGCTGATTAAATTTTAAATTGAAATTTTTAATTTTAATTTTTAATTTTAAGGATAAATTTGAACCTAAATTTAAATTTAGATTATAGCACAATCTAAATAATTTATCCAGCTAACACCGGGAAAACTAGAAGTTTTAACTTACTTTTATTTTAACTATCGTCTTACGAAAACGATTTTTTTAAATTTAACTCCTATTTTCAGATAATGTCGTGTAAGGACGTCTGTTTATATGCACAACAAAAATTAAAATACTTTTTAAAATAATGGAATTAGTTGATTTGTAGTAAGTTTTCCATCTATAATTAGTAAATATAGGTTTTACTTAATAACAATATCACCTAATTTAAATCTTTGAAGCTTATTATAATTAAAATTATTTGATTTTTGCAAGAATTTCCAAATTAATATGTTTTTCACCTCAAAAAAGACGCTAAAATTTCTTATATTAAGAATATTATTTCGCCCCGGCGCTGACGAAAAAAAAAAACAAACAAACAAATACATGATTTTTAACCAAAATATCGAACATTTTAAAATTGATCAAAGATATAATTTAATAATCAAAAAATCTTTTGGTTTTTTCCTCTTAATAACAGGATAAAAACTTTTACGATAAAACTTATATACTTATAGCTAAAATTAATTTTGGGCATTTTTGAATGATGTATGCTCATTTTTTGAAGTTCCTAATATATATATATATATATATATATATATATATATATATAGAGAGAGAGAGAGAGAGAGAGAGAGAGAGGAGAGAGATAGGCGGATTTTTGCGTATTTATTTTTCCCTAAATACACCAGTTACTCAGATAACTCAACCGCTAGGAGAGTCTTGCATAATCAGCAGTAATAGTGACTGTTTACAAATTCGTTCTTTACTCCCCACAGTGCTCGACCGATTAAATTATTTCATCGAGAGCTAATATCGTCATCCACAGACAGACTGTTTCGCTGTATCACAGTTCATCAGTGTGGCTTCAACATGTATCACTCTACCTCTTTAAATATCTATTTCACTCTATTCACCACTGTCATGTTATAAAGTATTAAAATGCTTTTTTAATTCTGAATTTCTCGACTTTTTCTCGTAGTGTCTGTGTCTGTGTGTGTGTACGTGCGCGCGTATGTGTGTGTGTAGTAAAATATCTGATCTATTTGTTTGTTTCTGATTAACGTTTCCTCTATATATCCACACCATTCTTTGCCAATTGATAAGCTTAGCTTAGTCCGTTACAAGACCAAATGACAGAACCAAACTGCCTACCTTCAAAATCTATACCGGAAATACTGACTCGAACACTGACCTCTGACAGGAAATACTCAGCTACGAGGCAAGACCACAACTTTTAAATACGAAATCTATTTATATATCAAATTTCTTTCTAAACATATTTTCAAGTGACTGGTACTTTTTCATACTTATACAATACTTCGAAAATCTGAAATACACACATTGTTACAACTATTTATCTACCTATCAGGTAAAAGTTTGAATTTGTTTAATACAAACGGGGTGTGTGGTCGTACAATGGATAGCGAATCGGAATGAGAAATTAGAGAGCTGAGTTCGAATTCGGGTAAATGGGTTAAATAGTATAACTTGCATCTGGAAAAATCATTGTTTTTGTTATCTCAAAAAATGTTAATGCAATATTCGCTTACAAAAAAAAAGTTTAATTATTCTTGCATTGCAAATTGTTTGGCTTTAAATAACCGACAAAGGGTTGATAAGCCGTAAAAACCAAATCAATCAACAGGCTCTCCTCGCCTGAAAAGATGATACAATTTTTCTATTCCTTTAAAAGTCATGTACTTGTTAAACCTGTAATACCAATCTATTATAAATATCTACGGTTTTTTTTGCTTGTTGGTTTTTAGTGCATTTTTTTAATCTTTGCACTTAGCTAACCTTAAATTTATCTAATCTATTCATCCTGACTGTTATTTAAGTTATTTCTTTTTTATTTTCTTCCTATCTCTTTTCCTCTTTTTAACAATCTTCTTCCAACGATCGTCATTTTAAGTTACAGCCACAATTTATTATAAAACGATGTAATTTAACATTCCCCTTCTTAAAACATTTATTCCACTTAATATTCTCGTTATCACTAAAGCTAGACGACTATAAATTAAAGTGAAAGAAAAGAATAAGCATTTTTATACATAAAATAATGAATGAATTCTCTGAAAAGGCAACATTACGAGTATAGTGGCAGAATGTAAGCAACTGACAGATTCATTAATATAGTAAAGGATGCGATTTCAATGAAGACTTCTTTATTTTCTCTCGACATTACTTGTATACATTCAAGATATATTCTAGAACGCTCTTATAACATTCTAAGAGTTGCAATATAAATAAAATGAAAGTAAGACTAGACAAAAATAAATATAATAATGTTTGATCTAAGCTTCTATTTATTCATCAATATGTCCTTTATTTACTAAACTCTATCTCTATTCTTATAAAGTGTTTCTTTTTGACTCATATGCGTATTTATGGCAAACGAATTCACTTCATGAATTCTTGAAGATCCATTATTTACTGGAAAATTACTGGAACTTACTGGAAAATTATAAAATTTGACAAGCGTTTAAGCTGATCGCCCAGACATCGTGATCAAAGACCACAAATCAGAATGTGCTTTCTTGTTTTCATGGCAATTCCTGCAGATTTTAATGTATCAAAATACAATTTTCATGTAAAATAGAAATGATTTTACAACCTCCATGTTAAAATATATTCACCAAAAATCAATCATTACAAAATTCTATTTTTTATTCAACCATGTAAAAAAAATAGAAAAATGGTCGAAGCGCCCGTAGAGAAAAGAATTTTGTTTCATTAAATTCGATCGGCACCCGTGGGGTTGACTACATTGCGTAGATTTATTTAATCTTCGTTAAAATCGTTTTTATTAAAAGCAACTTAATTTAAAATTGATAGAAGTCATTCAAAAGAAAAGAACTGAATATCTTCTGAATTTAATTGTTGCAAATATCTTTGGCTTATCTTTTCGTACGTGGAATGCTTGTTAATCAATAATCAATTGACATTAAAATGCGATTGATTTCGTTTATTGCCATCAGCCTCAGAAAATGATCAACTGATAGCGTAAATATTTCATGGGAATAAAATGTCGAAAAATATTATTAACAAAATGAACCGCACTTTTTTTGCATACCCGCCGCATTTTTCTACTACTACTAATACTAATACTACTAATTATTATTATTATTTATTTTGATTTTTGTTGTATACACATTTCCATCCGGGTCTCAATCAGCGACCTAGTGTTAGAAATGGCTTCATGATATTTTCCACTGATCATTTTTGTAAAAACCTAAACAAACATAAGATCACACAGATTTTACATAGACAAAACTCTTCATAAATTGTGAGCTGTACTTGTGAGAACAATTTTTTTGTATTTCTTTAAGGGATGGTCTACCAGGGATCCCTTCAATGAGTCTATCGAAACCTTTTCCAATTAATTCGACGGCTCAAAATGCAACTGGAATTATTCATGCCACATTTTTGAGATTTCGACTTCATGATCCTTGTATTTTGATAGATCTTTTTAAAATCTTCAAAGATACATTACAATCTGAAGGAACTCCCATGACAATAAGAAAGCACATCTTATTTTGTGGTCTTTGATCACGATGTCTAGATGATTTGCTTTAATTGTTCTGTCTGTGTGTATTGTAAAGTCCCATAAAATTGTTGCTATTATTATTATTATTATTATTATTATTATTATTATTAAATCATAATTCTGCTTGTTACTTAGTTAGTTAGTTGGCACGATCGTTGCGCTCTGCCATTACCTCAGATAAACAATGGGCGCTGTTTGGTTTTAAAGAAAGAAAGAACGAGAAGATAGAAGCGGCGATAACACTCTCATATACTTAACGTCTGCTTCAGTGAAATGGAAAACCTTGACTGTTTTGAATGTTTTCATTTGCACCCTCTTGATTCTTTAATCAAATGACCTGCCTTCATACTTATGATTGTTACTGCAATATTTGGTTAAAGCTGTTAAGTGAAGTAATCAGGGCATTTCTGTATATTTTATTATAATTGCAAGGAGTTTATTCCATCATTAACCCTTTGCCTGTCCAGGGCATTTTCGTGTATACTCTTGCGAGAGACAAAAAGTTATTTTTCCTTGACTAATAAAAACTTCTTACAGATAATCACGAGAATTTAAAAAAAAAAGACGTAAGCAAGTCTCGCTCTTGAAATAGATAATTAACAAAAAATCCATATTGTTTTTCGGTACAGAATCTTTTGTAAGTGATTACATTCAACTTTGTATTAAGAATTCCATATATATATATATATATATTATATATATATATTATATAAAAAATTTTTATAAAAAAATTTATAACATAAATATGTTATAAAATCACTACAAAAAAAAGCCATTTTGTTTCAACACCCTCGGTGTCTTATCAAGGATCTTGAGAGTGTTGAAACAAAATGGCTATTTTTGTAGTGATTTTATAACATATTTATGTTATAAATTTTTTATAAATAATAATTAAATATATATATATATATATATATATATATATATATATATATATATATATATAGCAAGTCTTTTCATACGATGCACAAATATATTTACTGATCACGATGAATAAAACAAAAAAACACATGTTAATAGCCACCATATTTGATGACACAAAAAAACACACTTTTGATAACCACACATTTGGTGAATTTAAAAAAAATATATATATATATATATATATATATATATATATATATATATATATATATATATATATATATACACAGAATAAAAAAAAGAAAAACAGAATGGATCAAGACTCCCACGAGCCGAGTGTCCAACAAATAGCAATTAAGACACGCAAGATTCATGCAAACTAATATTACCAGTTGGTTCACAATTATTGAATATCAGTTCTATTTGAGAAACATAACATCCCAAACCATAAAATTTTACAACGTTATTGCACCTCCACCTCCGGAAATAGTGACGTTAATAGCTAGCAACATTTAGGGTAAACACAACTATGATGAGTTGAAAAAGACTCTCATAGAAACCTTTCCAAAAGGGACAATTCCAGAAAATATGTAGAGCACATATATATTATTCGGACGTGGAGAGACTTGATACAACAACCAAGTTGGTGTCCATCTTCGCCAGCTCCAAACGAAGCGGACGACGACTCATCCCCCCCCCACAACCCGAGTCTGCCATTATTACAGATACTAGAAATGTTGGGGACAAAAAAATTTCTTTCATAATAGATACCGGCTCCAGCTTATCTATCATTCCACATAGCCACGTTATGAGTTTATCAACGGAACCAACAGCAGTCTCTCTTACGACGGCTACTGGCATATTTATGTTACACGCTGCTACGGGCAAATTACAGTCGAGATAAGCCTACCGACACTTTGACGGTCTTTTCTGTGGCAATTTGTAGTAGCGGACATTCGATACCCCTCCTACTAGAATTCGACTTCCTAGACAATTTTGATTTGTTAATAGATTGCCAACAGAGAACGATCATCGATCCCACAACATCGTGTTCAAAGAAGCTAAAAAAATTCAACAACTCTATCAAATTAGTCGTAAATAATAATATGCCTGATTTAATCAAAGACTTTATAAATATAAATCTCAACATTATTCCCACATACCAATCTAGAAAGCACATATACAGGAATATACCACAGAATTGATACAAGCAGTCATGCTCCTACTTTTGTCAAGGCTAGACGTCTACCAGAAGAGAAAAGAAAGAGTAAAGAAAGAATATTCAAAATTGCGAACCAATGGTGTCATTACACCTTCTAACAGGGAATGGACCAGACCCCACCCTACACGTTGTTAAAATGTCAGATGGAAATTTCAGATGCTGTAGTGATTAAATAGCATTACAAAAAAGTGATAAATACCCTATCCCGAACATTAATTCAATTGCAAAATAAACTAGCCAACAAAACAAGATTTAGCAAAATCGACCTGGTATCAGCATACCATCAAATCAAAATGCACCCGGAGGATATAAAAATAAGCAGCACTTATTTTACCTCTCGAACTGCATGAATATAAATACATACCTTTTGGACTAAAGAATGCAGCATCCACTTTTCAAAGATACATACACAAGACTTTTCTACATGTTGACTATATTTACATACATTGACGATATTCTTATTTTCAGTGATGATTCTTCAGCGCACATAAAAGACGTTAAAACTGTTATAGAAATCCTACATGATAATAATCTAAACATTTCAATAGCAAAGGTAACATCTGATGTGATTTCAGTCGATTTTTGGAGTTATTAGTTATGACGGTATTAGATCTATACAAAATAATATTAGTGCATTACAGAATTTTCCCCCTCCTAAGTACAGTAAGAATCTTCGTCATTTCATAGGCATGGTAAGTTTATATAGAAAATGAATCCCAAACTTTGCAGACAGTCATGCCATTAACAGAAAAAATACATGCATTCATTAATACTACATCTACATTAAATGACTTTGAATTGCAATCATTTAACGATGTTAAAAGCAGAATTAGTGAATATCCATCCTTAGCTCACCAACAGTCTGACTGTACTGAATATCGGTTGATTACTGATAGCAGTAATTATGCAATTGATGCAGCCCTACATCAAATAATAGAAGGAGCGCCAATTCCAATAGGCTTCTTCTCTAAAAGGTTATCTCAAACTCAAACAAAAGGTATTCAACTTTTGATAAAGAACTTTTAGCAGCATATTCAGCTACGTTATATTTTAAACACATTATCGAAGGAAAACAAGTTTTACTATTAACTGACACTAATCCTTTATGTGGAACATTCCGAAGTCTAAACACTACTAAGTTAGTTAGACAGCAACGGCAATTAGCAATTCTCACAGAATATATATCAGATATATGCCACATAAAGGGAAATCAAAACGTTATAGCCGATTGCTTGTCTAGACCTACCGTAGCAGTTATGGTAGATCTGTGTGACTTCCAGCTATAGTTGCTGCACAACTTAAGGACCCAGAGTTACAAAAAATTGCAGACTTTAAAAAATTCAATTTTAGTACTGGTAATAATAGTTCTATATACTGTGATAATTCTACCGATATTCATAGACCATATATAACTGGTGAATTACAAAAATCTATTATTGATAGTATTCATGCAATATCACACCAGGAATTAAAACCTCATATAAATTTATCAAAACAAGATTTTTTGCCTTAATACGGTACACTTAGATTTAATTGGTCCACTTCCTCTTACGAACATACGTTATGATATATACAAAACTCCTTCTGTTAGCCTGTATTGACCGCACAACTAAGTCGATGAAAGCAAAACCATTGCCAGATATAACAGCACGATCTATTGCCAATGCGTGAATCACAGGTTGAGGTGTTCCACTTCACATGATAAATGATCGTGGCACTCAGTTTGAGAACGGATTATTTTCAGGGATAGCCTCAATAGACGGCCTCTATAGAGTAAACTAACGGAATTCTAAAACGTGCACATACAACAATTAATAACTAGAAAAGAATCAAATAATATTAATGGGTCTCCGTGCCGCACCTAATTTTTCTAATATTTCACACTTCTTTACAGTTACAGGCACGTATATAATGATTCCTCATTTTGATAGTAGATGATACTTACGATAACATAGATACTCAGAAATTCGCTAAGGAGTTACAACGTACCTTACACTCCTTACATTCAACGGACAAAGATTATAGCTCTGTAAATAAATCACATCAATACGTTGCTGACAAGCTTAAGATATGTAAAAGTGTATGGCTAAGAGTAGACAGGGTTCACAAGCATTTGGAAGCACCTTACATCTGGTCTCTTTTAAGTGTTACGTAGAACTGACAAATATTTTGTAATTAAAATGAACAATGAGATACAGTCAATAGATAGGTTAAAAAACACACGTTAAGCCTAAAGGTGAGAAGAAAGTAATAATTGAAAAGCATAGTGATGAATAGATACAGAAAACATAGACAGAAATAGTTAAGCCCAGTCATTCATACGAAAGCGGGGAAAAATGTTGATTTTTAAGCTTCAGATTCCAGCGTTATTTAATGTAATCAGTTTGTTTATGTACCTTTTTAATGATTCCGTGGGATTTTTCCTTAATTTTGTGAATTTTGTTCTGTCATCTATGATAGATTGTAATATTTTCTTGTAATCTTGTTGGTTAAGAACTACTAAGAATTGTTGGTTTTCTTAGCGCGACTGATGTTGTCTGACTTTTTGCAGCTGATTAGAGTTTGTGAGGATATTATTGTGTTTTCTGTTTGGAGAACGGTTTTTCAACCTTCCTCTTTTGGAAGGTCTCTCAGATTTGGGTGCACCTTTAATTAATTTTTCCATTGTCGGCTGTTGGATTGATTGGTTGAGTATTTCGATTTTGGTTTTCTTTTGGATGGGTTCCTATCTAGATTGGAGATGGGTCGATATTCAAGAATTTTATTTGGTCGTCAGTGAGTTCGTGATCGGGCAAGTTTAGGAAGTTAAATTTACTATTGAGTAGTACAAACTTTTCATTGTATAAGTTGCAGAGTTTTTAGTAATGTTGTTTATTGAGGTGCAACGTGATTTTTAAAATCAAGTATTTCAAATAACTTGTACTTAATTTCAGATAATTCAGAATTAACACATTTTTAGCACAAACGAACGCACAGACGTTTTCACCAGGTCGTATTTTTTTTCTTTTATGATGCCCGGTTGCCAATGAGAAATCTCCCTTTTTGGTTGTATGGTAGATCATAAAAGATATAATTACAAAACTGACAATAGAAAAAATCGAGATGTTTGATGTTTACTTTTATTATCTACCAACTGCTAACTTCAAAAGAAAATTGGCGGTTCTTGTAGCCACTAAATATGCTTCGTACACAGAGGTTCATAGTGAATAATAAATAATCGATATCAACTTCTCTGTAGACGAAGATAAAATTAGAAATTATTCAACGATTCTCGTAAGAAGAAGCAGTTATAAACAGTCAAGCTTTGATTGAAATTTTTATGTGCTTAATATCACTCTCCTATAATAAACTATAAAACATTACTTGTTTTTTCTTTCATTTACGAATTTAAAAAATAAATCTAATTAAAAATCGCTACCAAGTGGGAAATATAAACATGTTGCCACGAACTGCTCCAATTTTTAAGAAAAAAATCGTTAACATGTTTTGTTTATTCAATGTTGACGCTATGAGGCCACAGACAATCGAGCCACAATCGGCTTCAATAGGTAATTTAAACAGTTATATGTTTATCAGAGCGCATGACGAAAATCTTTCATAACGTTTAGCATGAATTCACATCAATTTCTTTTTATTCATTAAGGATTATTGTGGTTCTTTTTATCATTCTATTAACATTAAATAGATCATAAACTATTTAATGATAGACCTATTTGCACGCGAAGCAAAAGTAACAGAACAAAACTTTGACATAATTATTGCTATAATAAACGTTATTTTTAATGGTTACACGTATTTAAGAACATTTGTGCGTCCCTTAAATAGGCAATTCAAACGTTGCTCTGTCAAAAGTTGTAGCCGAATTGAGAAAAGGCATGTTTGGAATAGAGAAACGGTTTCCCGGGTTCGATTCCTGTAAGAGGCGCAATCTTTCTATAGTAGGACTTCTCAGTCTAGACCGGTAGTTATTGATTTCACTGCTTAAGAAAAAAAAATCAAATGCGCTTATTCACTAAAAATAACGTTTAAAGAAATAACGTCGCAAAAAATTCCATTAAAAAATGACGTAATTTTCGTTTATTTTTTCGCTGATTCAGCCCAGTTGCCGGACATGACTTCGTCGGAAATAAAAGATGAATGAATTTATTTGAAAAAAATAATTTTATACTATATTATTCTCCCACTTTGCTTTATAGATATTTATAATACTAAACGTAATCAAGTGGAGCACATGATCAGAGAAGAAGAATTTGTGGGGTAGATTTACTCAACCAAGAAATGGCTTAAAAACAGAAGTGAAAAAGACAAAAATGGCCAAAAAGAGAGCAACGGATAAGAACACACTGAAAGAATATACATTATATATATATATATATATATATATTTTGTGTGTGTGTGTGTGTGTGTGTGTGTGTGTGTGTGTGTGTGTATCATTATTTACATTATTCGGACTGTTATCTCCATCTTACCATATTCACAACGTCATCTTCATTGCCATATTCTCGG